AGACCTTCACGGCTAAATATAATACCGTTTTGCCCACAACACCGTAAGTGAGACCAAAATCCGAAATTTACACCCCGGCCTAAGCAAGACGACGAGCATCCCAAGCCCTTTTATATGCGGAGCGCTCCCTCCCCCCCTCCCGAGTGACGAACGCTCGCGCTTTATTCACCTCCTCACTTCGTATCTTATTTACAAACAAGCGAGACTCAACGCTACTTAGAGCGTTCTTGTTTAAATTTATTTTACCGTACAGTAGCTTTATATTGTTAAGTTAGTAATTGTAGAATGACTGAGCAAGTATTTTTTTGAGGGAAAAGTCCTTTCCGTAGCAGTTTTGGCAAAAATCACTTTAATTTTCGTTTTGCTTACATACTACTACTTTGATTAGTCGTGCCACTTCATTTCGAATGTCTTTCATTCTCCATAAATAAAGAACAGGGTTCAACGAGGACGACATAAATGCCAGCAAAAATGAGAAGTTTAATAGTGGCACCGTCTCTTTCTCATAGTTTAGAACTGGGATTAATCCAAAACTAATGGCTATGGGCAAGTAGCAAATAAGGAATATCGCTAGGATGTAGAGAATGGTGAAGACGGATTTCTTGTACTTGGCCATGTGCATTGCTGGTTGAGCAGCATTTTTGGACAATTCGCTCAAGTGGATTTGTTGCTGATATGCGCGAATTATTTGGAAAACTTTGAAGTAAGCAACTGAGGTTATAAAAAGGCAAAATATCAACGATGAAGAATTTGCAACATTTACTGCAATATTAAATGGAATAAGTACGCGGCACACTGCAAACGGAATAGGTAAAGGAAATAACATGGCAATAGCGATATATGTACGACGCACTGTGACTAGGGATCGACGAGACATGTGTAGCCATCGTTCAACCGACATGATTGTTATTATTAACATTGTGAGGGTACCAAAGTAGGAGCCAATACCATTGCCCACCATTCCTAATGCTAAATAAGTTCGATGCGAGGAACTTCCATTGAATGTATTGAAATCTTTCCCCACTTTTCTAAATGCAATTGCATCTATTACGTAAAGGGACTGACTGATAAGTCCCGTTCCAAAGTCAGTGAAAGCCAATGCAGCCAGGAGAATATACGAGGGTGTTCTGAGAGACGAATTCTTCAAAATTGCCGTTAATACCAGAGCATTTCCGACCACCGTAACCGGCGACAAAACGACGACGATGATTGAAATGCAAAGCAAGAATGGGCGATAGTGTTCGGTCATTGTAGCAAAGGTGCAGGATACTCCGTTATATTTTTCCCACTATGTTGTAACCAATTCGCTCAATGCCGTCAAACAACAAAATAAATGTAAACTTTGATTCTACTGAAGGGTGCAGAAGTTGTTCTCCATCTTGTCTTCTTGCATCAGATGCTGGTGATTTCGAAGTCAGTCATATTTTAACTTTGTCCTCTCTGTGCAAGCTTCTTTTTTTCTGATTTTTAGTAATTCACTTAGTTTTTTATCAACCAATCATTAACTGACCTTGGTGTGATGTAAATTCTGTTTCAAGCAAACAACTCCCAACTTAAGAGATGCTATCCAATGATCTTCCATCCTCAATATTGGAAACGTCATTTAATTTAAATTTTGTTTTGAGTATTCGCTTACTTTTTAGGAGTGTTTTTTTATATTTGTTTTTGTATTTTTGTTTCGTACTATTACCAAGTCGGAACGTCAGCAGATAGTAATTAATTTAAACAGAAGCGAACTGTCACTCGGGTCGACCTTTAAAAAACGACAATAAGCGACTTAATAAATTATTAAGTTGTAACGTATTAGTAAAGGTTTCTGTAAGTTATTGTACGTTATTTTCTTTTTTGCTTCATCACCAGAGTGATGTAAGAAATCGAAAGAAGAGTCTAGATTGTTTTTGAAGAAAAGCATTGTTGAAGTTGTCCTCAGGCTGTGTTGGTTTTTTTTTCTGCAAGGAACAAGGAAATATGTTCTTTCATGGCGCCGTTGCATTTGATCTCAGTGGTCAAGGAAACAATAGGTGACGTGCTGATGATAAACCTGTCGTTGAACAAACCGACCTGAACTTCTTTGATCTTTATTTGTTCTCTTATTGTCGGTGATTTATTGGTTTTCATAGACCCTGGAAGTTGAAGTATTGAAACAACAAGACTTAATCAAGACGAATGGGGAGACACTACTTGTTTACATTCAGTCTGCAGCACTATTGTGGAAATAGTCATCGCTCAAATTTTTCCAATACCTTAATTAACAAACGGCTAGAAGCAAACATGATAAAAATTGAAGTTACCCACAGGCCGTGCCGAGTTTTCAATGTAGGTTTGTCAGTGAAAGTACCATCGTCAAAAATGGTTGACGATGAATGATGGATTTAAATAAATCTTTGTTATGAATATAGTTTCCTAAGTCACTCTGCCTTTTTGGAAAGTGCATATGCTCCATACAAGATTTATGCTAAATGTACAGTTTCAATTTAATATTCGTTGGGTTTACAAGATATTGCTCCAAGTAGTCTTACAACTTCAATTTTGGATATGTGCATGTCATTCTCCACAAATAAAGGCCAGGATTAAGCGAGGAAGAAATACATAACAAAATTACTGAGGCGTTGTATAATGGCACCACTTCTTTTTTATATAAGAGAACTGGCATTAAAACCGAGGAAAAAATGGCCATGGGCAAGAAGCAAATAATGAATATGGCAACAATATAGAGAATGGTGAAGACAGATTTTCTGTACTTGGCCATGTGGATTGCTGGTCGAGCAGCGTTTTGGGCCAATTCGCTCGAGTGGATTTGTTGCTGATGTGCGCGAATTATTCGAAAAACTTTAAAGTAAGCCACTGAGGTTATAACAAGGCAAAAAAGGAAGAAGAAAGCACTTGTAACATTCACTACAATGTTAAACGGATAAAGTGCACGGCACACTGCTAGTGGAATCGGTAAAGGTAATAACACTCCAACAGCAATGTAAGCTCGACGCACTGTAACCAGAGTTCGATAAGACATGTGTAACCATCGTTCAATTGACATGGTTGTTATCGTTAAAACCGTGAGGATAACAAAATAGTTACCAAGGCCATCAACCATTTGTTTTAATATTGAATACATTCGAGGCCAGGTCGTCATATCGATCAATTTAAAATCAACTTCCTCAATGCCGAAGTTAAGCACAACGTTAAGGGGCTGAGTTATAATCCCAGTTCCAAAGTCAGTAAAAGCCATTGTAGCCAATAGTATGTTGGTGGGTGTTCTGAGATCAGAAAATTAAGCGACAGATCGGCTATCAGTGAGATAATTCTTTAAATTTTTTTTAAAAACAAATATAAAAGGAGAGCTAATTAGTGAAATAGGCAACGAATTCCAGATTTTAGGTCCTCGGTAAGGGATACTGAATTGCTTCATATTTGTTCTACAAAAATGAGGTCTATACTGAGAGGCTAGTCGGGTTTCGTATTGATGGACTTGATTACTACTTAAGAACAAGTCACGACAGCTACTAGGCAAAAGATTATGGTGATAAGAATACATAAAAGTAGCGACAGAAAATGAATTAATACTAAATATGTCAAGGACTTTAAGCTGGCTAAATAAAGGGGCGGTATTTGCTAGATAGTGAGCTTTTGTTATGAGCCGCCCTAGACGCCTTTGCAAAAGGTAAATACAGTTTAGGTTGGAACAGTAGGTGGAGGAACAGGCGACATTACAGTATGTTAAGAAAGGATATACGAGGGAGTAATACACATTTTATTGTCCCTTGTTACCCGATCAAGTAATTGCTGAAAAGATTCCAGGAATTCATGCAAATTAGCAGAGGGGAGGACGATAAACTGTACCGATAATAAAGTTTTTTCCATGTGGATTTTCGATTTCAACAAAAACAGAGTCAAATAAGGCGGAGTTTGACGAGCACAAATCAGACATAATGTTAAAGTTGAAAGTGTCGCGTAAATAATTAAAGGCCTGCGCCTCCACCAAGCCTACCCACTCTATTCGATGAGATGAAACGATAGCCAGTAATGTTTTTTATAATCTTCGTTAATATCATTTAGCCACGTTTCTGAGATACCTATAGCTGAAAACTCATGCTGCGAAGAATCTAAGAGTTGGGTAAATTTGACAAAATTTTTAAGTAAGGTACGAGCATTTAAATGTAAAAGGGAAAAATTGATAGCATCCTTCCTATTACCAATTAGGTCATTTAGTTCTGGCTCGTTATAGTAACTACCTTTAGAAGTAAGATTTAGAAAATTACTATCTGGATCAATGTCACTGGATATTACAGTATTGCAATTACTTATCAGGTTAAAGTATAGGCATTCTAATCTATCATTATTAAAACGCACTGGGCCGTCAGCTAACTCATAAAGGGCAAGATTAAAAGACACACCGTCAAGATGATTAAAAGGAAATTCGCTAATATTAGCAAAGAATTGAATAGGGAGTCAACTTATCTGAGTTAAACTAGATCGAGGGTCTGTCTTTGATTATCAATTTATTCAACACAGAGTAGGCAATCTTTCCGGCTTGCTTTGCTTGTTATTAGTTTCGGCAGTTGATCTTTACGCCTTTGAAGAGTTTCAGCCGCAAGATCTTCATTGGCAAACATTCCCTCTGGCTTTACAATCCTCGCTGCCTTTAACATTGGACCTTTTGCTTCCAGCTTACCAGGCGACAAATAACTGTACGAGGACGCGTAGATGAAGCGTTGTCGTCAGAGCGCCGATTAACTTTAACAGTGCGATGAGCTCGCTCGATTTCCACCTTGAAAGGAAGATTGAGTTTGGATTCTAGCGCCACTTTAGCTTTACTTTCAGTGTCTTTCCAAGTTTCATCGGGTTCCTCAGGGATTCCATCAATTCTAATATTGTTGCGACGGCTCTGGTTCTCGAGATATTCCATCTTGTCACAATGGAAATCTACCTGGGCTTAGACTTCTCCCAGCTCTTTTCCAATCTTAGTCATCTGCTTGGTTACTGGTTTTAGGTCTTCAACGTCTTTCTGGGTGAACTGTAGGCTAGATTTTAGCTCAGCCAGGTCTTTGCTTATATATTGCGACCTTCTACTGCTTCCTACTAGTCTCCTCAGCCGATTAAGGTTCAGTTTAAGAGGCATGCGTCCGATTCAACAGGACGAAGCCAAAAGCCATAATCGAACGCTAACTAGTAAATTTAACCTTTTTCCTGAAGGAGTTTAATTTCCAAATTTTGCTGACTAGTTCTATCCAACCTTCATTGTAATTCTAAGTACTTTTTTGTAAAGAGCTTTCAAATTTAGCGCTCGTGAGAGCCTGAAAATTCCTGATGTGTCGCGGTATTCTGGGCAATTGATGTGATTGATGGTCATTTCACTGGTCTCCAGTCACTTTGTGCCTAGATCTTTTGTTTCCTGTTCGCATTTCGTTGTTTTAACATAATATTTTATTAACAAGCAGTTTAACTGCATTCTAGATCTCCACAAGTAAAGAGCTGGGTTTAATGAAGAAGACAAAAATGCCAGTACTACTGACATGTTGAATACCAGTAAACTAACGTCATTGTATTTGAAAACCATCCTTAGGGTTAATTTCTTACCAACTAGGTTTTCTTTTGGGTTTTATGCTTTGCAAGATCATAGATAGTTCCCGATGTATGAGGCTAGTCTTCTGTTATTGTTTGTCAGATGTCATTTATTCTTTATGGACTTACGTTTTGAAATCGATTGCCTTTGAGGCAAAAAATCAATCAAGATAAAATACTTTACGTGCATGACACCTGTTCGTGTGTGTGGTTTGTTTTAGAAATACTCAATGCTCAATGTACCTGACAGTCTATTATTAGTCTATTTTAATTAGTGTTCTGAATTTTCTAAACCGCCATATAATCCTTTATCTGTACCCTCTGCAATGATTACACTGACTGCATGCGGTGCCAGTAAGGAAATAAGCTGCACCAAACTGATATAAATATTGCTTGTTACAAAGCGAAGTATTGGCGTTTTTGTTAATTTGGCTTACTAGCTGCAAGTGGCGCACAGCATTCTTCGATCTCTTATGTTCTTTCCACTACAAATCAGAAATTAAATTAGTTCATATTAGTTCAAGTCTCAACGGATCGGATGCTGGAGATGAATTTCAATTGTGCTATATGTTGTCCCGTGTTGGCGTTTATTTAGTGATTTCCAATAGAGATGAAAAATGCGTAGAAAAAACTTGGTATATGATAGGGAACCGGTCACCTGTTCTGATTACAGTAAAAAGAAAACGTCTTAAAAGAAACCGTGACGTTTTGGGCCAATTCGCTCGAGTGGATTTGTTGCTGATGTGCGCGAATTATTCGAAAAACTTTAAAGTAAGCCACTGAGGTTATAACAAGGCAAAAAAGGAAGAAGAAAGCACTTGTAACATTCACTACAATGTTAAACGGATAAAGTGCACGGCACACTGCTAGTGGAATCGGTAAAGGTAATAACACTCCAACAGCAATGTAAGCTCGACGCACTGTAACCAGAGTTCGATAAGACATGTGTAACCATCGTTCAATTGACATGGTTGTTATCGTTAAAACCGTGAGGATAACAAAATAGTTACCAAGGCCATCAACCATTTGTTTTAATATTGAATACATTCGAGGCCAGGTCGTCATATCGATCAATTTAAAATCAACTTCCTCAATGCCGAAGTTAAGCACAACGTTAAGGGGCTGAGTTATAATCCCAGTTCCAAAGTCAGTAAAAGCCATTGTAGCCAATAGTATGTTGGTGGGTGTTCTGAGATCAGAAAATTAAGCGACAGATCGGCTATCAGTGAGATAATTCTTTAAATTTTTTTTAAAAACAAATATAAAAGGAGAGCTAATTAGTGAAATAGGCAACGAATTCCAGATTTTAGGTCCTCGGTAAGGGATACTGAATTGCTTCATATTTGTTCTACAAAAATGAGGTCTATACTGAGAGGCTAGTCGGGTTTCGTATTGATGGACTTGATTACTACTTAAGAACAAGTCACGACAGCTACTAGGCAAAAGATTATGGTGATAAGAATACATAAAAGTAGCGACAGAAAATGAATTAATACTAAATATGTCAAGGACTTTAAGCTGGCTAAATAAAGGGGCGGTATTTGCTAGATAGTGAGCTTTTGTTATGAGCCGCCCTAGACGCCTTTGCAAAAGGTAAATACAGTTTAGGTTGGAACAGTAGGTGGAGGAACAGGCGACATTACAGTATGTTAAGAAAGGATATACGAGGGAGTAATACACATTTTATTGTCCCTTGTTACCCGATCAAGTAATTGCTGAAAAGATTCCAGGAATTCATGCAAATTAGCAGAGGGGAGGACGATAAACTGTACCGATAATAAAGTTTTTTCCATGTGGATTTTCGATTTCAACAAAAACAGAGTCAAATAAGGCGGAGTTTGACGAGCACAAATCAGACATAATGTTAAAGTTGAAAGTGTCGCGTAAATAATTAAAGGCCTGCGCCTCCACCAAGCCTACCCACTCTATTCGATGAGATGAAACGATAGCCAGTAATGTTTTTTATAATCTTCGTTAATATCATTTAGCCACGTTTCTGAGATACCTATAGCTGAAAACTCATGCTGCGAAGAATCTAAGAGTTGGGTAAATTTGACAAAATTTTTAAGTAAGGTACGAGCATTTAAATGTAAAAGGGAAAAATTGATAGCATCCTTCCTATTACCAATTAGGTCATTTAGTTCTGGCTCGTTATAGTAACTACCTTTAGAAGTAAGATTTAGAAAATTACTATCTGGATCAATGTCACTGGATATTACAGTATTGCAATTACTTATCAGGTTAAAGTATAGGCATTCTAATCTATCATTATTAAAACGCACTGGGCCGTCAGCTAACTCATAAAGGGCAAGATTAAAAGACACACCGTCAAGATGATTAAAAGGAAATTCGCTAATATTAGCAAAGAATTGAATAGGGAGTCAACTTATCTGAGTTAAACTAGATCGAGGGTCTGTCTTTGATTATCAATTTATTCAACACAGAGTAGGCAATCTTTCCGGCTTGCTTTGCTTGTTATTAGTTTCGGCAGTTGATCTTTACGCCTTTGAAGAGTTTCAGCCGCAAGATCTTCATTGGCAAACATTCCCTCTGGCTTTACAATCCTCGCTGCCTTTAACATTGGACCTTTTGCTTCCAGCTTACCAGGCGACAAATAACTGTACGAGGACGCGTAGATGAAGCGTTGTCGTCAGAGCGCCGATTAACTTTACCAGTGCGATGAGCTCGCTCGATTTCCACCTTGAAAGGAAGATTGAGTTTGGATTCTAGCGCCACTTTAGCTTTACTTTCAGTGTCTTTCCAAGTTTCATCGGGTTCCTCAGGGATTCCATCAATTCTAATATTGTTGCGACGGCTCTGGTTCTCGAGATATTCCATCTTGTCACAATGGAAATCTACCTGGGCTTAGACTTCTCCCAGCTCTTTTCCAATCTTAGTCATCTGCTTGGTTACTGGTTTTAGGTCTTCAACGTCTTTCTGGGTGAACTGTAGGCTAGATTTTAGCTCAGCCAGGTCTTTGCTTATATATTGCGACCTTCTACTGCTTCCTACTAGTCTCCTCAGCCGATTAAGGTTCAGTTTAAGAGGCATGCGTCCGATTCAACAGGACGAAGCCAAAAGCCATAATCGAACGCTAACTAGTAAATTTAACCTTTTTCCTGAAGGAGTTTAATTTCCAAATTTTGCTGACTAGTTCTATCCAACCTTCATTGTAATTCTAAGTACTTTTTTGTAAAGAGCTTTCAAATTTAGCGCTCGTGAGAGCCTGAAAATTCCTGATGTGTCGCGGTATTCTGGGCAATTGATGTGATTGATGGTCATTTCACTGGTCTCCAGTCACTTTGTGCCTAGATCTTTTGTTTCCTGTTCGCATTTCGTTGTTTTAACATAATATTTTATTAACAAGCAGTTTAACTGCATTCTAGATCTCCACAAGTAAAGAGCTGGGTTTAATGAAGAAGACAAAAATGCCAGTACTACTGACATGTTGAATACCAGTAAACTAACGTCATTGTATTTGAAAACCATCCTTAGGGTTAATTTCTTACCAACTAGGTTTTCTTTTGGGTTTTATGCTTTGCAAGATCATAGATAGTTCCCGATGTATGAGACTAGTCTTCTGTTATTGTTTGTCAGATGTCATTTATTCTTTATGGACTTACGTTTTGAAATCGATTGCCTTTGAGGCAAAAAATCAATCAAGGTAAAATACTTTACGTGCATGACACCTTTTTCGTGTGTGTGGTTTGTTTTAGAAATACTCAATGCTCAATGTACCTGACAGTCTATTATTAGTCTATTTTAATTAGTGTTCTGAATTTTCTAAACCGCCATATAATCCTTTATCTGTACCCTCTGCAATGATTACACTGACTGCATGCGGTGCCAGTAAGGAAATAAGCTGCACCAAACTGATATAAATATTGCTTGTTACAAAGCGAAGTATTGGCGTTTTTGTTAATTTGGCTTACTAGCTGCAAGTGGCGCACAGCATTCTTCGATCTCTTATGTTCTTTCCACTACAAATCAGAAATTAAATTAGTTCATATTAGTTCAAGTCTCAACGGATCGGATGCTGGAGATGAATTTCAATTGTGCTATATGTTGTCCCGTGTTGGCGTTTATTTAGTGATTTCCAATAGAGATGAAAAATGCGTAGAAAAAACTTGGTATATGATAGGGAACCGGTCACCTGTTCTGATTACAGTAAAAAGAAAACGTCTTAAAAGAAACCGTGTAGTAAGAACCTCCAGGCTGAAATTTTGATCACGAATAAACTATTCTCAATTGTACTAAAAAAATGTAATGAGATTTCAACCTGCTGCCGAACGCCAGATGTTCACAGTATTGAATATGTTGTTTGTACAGTAATGACTTTCTTAGCCTTGTTAACTGCAAGGAAGCAAAAAGATTATGGAAGGCGTAAAACCTAGAAAAAGAATGTTCATAAATACTCCATAAAACCGTGTTAACGGCTACATATAGTTAGGTTAATGGCTAAAAGATAAACAGCACTGGATGACGAGTTATTAAATTCATTTCTCCCTCAGATACAGTAGCTTTATATTGTTCGCTTAGTATATGACTGAGCGAGTACTTTTGAGGGAAAAGTCCTTTCCGTAGCAGTTTTTACAAAAATCACTTTAATTTTCGTTTTGCTTACATAATACTGCTTTGATTAGTCGTGCCACTTCATTTCGAATGTCTTTCATTCTCCATAAATAAAGAGCAGGATTCAACGAGGACGACATAAATACCAGCAAAAATGAGAAGTGTAAAAGAGGCACCGTCTCTTTCTCATAGTTTAGAACTGGGATTAATCCAAAAGTAATGGCCATGGGCAGGTAGCAAATAAGGAATATCGCTAGGATGTAGAGAATAGTGAAGACGGATTTCTTGTACTTGGCCATGTGCATTGCTGGTTGAGCAGCATTTTGGGAAAATTCGCTTGAGTGGATTTGTTGCTGATGTGCGCGAATTATTTGGAAAACTTTGAAGTAAGCAACTGGGGTTATAACAAGGCAAAATATAAACGATGTAGAACTTGCAACATTCACTGCAATGTTAGATGGATTACTGAGTAGTACACGGCACACTGCAAACGGAATAGGTAAAAGCAATAACACCGCAGTGGCGATATACGTACGACGCACTGTGACTAGGGATCGACGAGACATGTGTAGCCATCGCTCAATTGACATGACTGTTATTATTAACATTGTGAGGGCACCAAAGTAGGAGCCAATACCACTGCCCATCATTCTTAATGCTGAATAAGTTCGAGGCGAGGAACTCCGATTGAACGTATTAAAATCTTTCCCCACTTTGCTAAAGGCATTTGCATTTATTACGTAAAGGGGCTGACTAATAAGTCCTGTTCCAAAGTCAGTAAAAGCCAATCCAGCCAGGAGAATGTAAGAAGGTGTTCTGAGAGACGAATTCTTCAAAATTGCAGTTAACACCAGAGCATTTCCGACCACCGCAGCCGGCGACAAAACGAGGACTATGATTGAAATGCAAAGCAGTAATGGGCCATAGAGTTCGGTCATTGTAGCAAAGGTGTAGGATACTATGCTATATTTTTCCCACTTTGGTGTAACCAATTCGCTCAATGCCGTCAAACAACAAATAAATGTAAACTTTGATTCTACTGAAGGGTTCAGAAGTTGTTCTCCATCTTGTCTTCTTACATGATGCTGGTGATTCCGAAGTCATTCATATTGTAACTTTGTCTTGTTTCTGCAAACTTCTTTTTTTCAGGTTTTTACGGTAATTCCCTTTCTTTTTATCAACCAATCATTAGCTCCTTGGTGAGATGTAAATTCTGTTTCAAGCGAATAACTCCCAACTTAAGAGATGCTATCCAATGATCTTCCATCCTCAATATTAGAAACGTCATTTTAATTTAAACTTTGTTTTGAACATTCGTTTTTTTTAGGAGTACTTTTTTTATATTTGTTTTTTTGTTTCGTACTATGATCACGTCGGAACGTATGCAGATAGTAATTAATTTAAACAGAAGCGAACTGTCACTGGTCCACCTTTAAAAAAACGACAATGAGTGACTTTATAAATTAAAAAGTTCTGAGGTGTTATTTAAGGTTGCTGTAAGGACCTTGTAAGTTATTGTACCTTATTTTCTTTTTTGCTTTATCACCAGAGTGAAGTATTAAGAAATCGAAAGAAGAGTCTAGATTGTTTTTGGAAAAAAAGCATTGTTGAAGTTGTCCTCGGGCGGTGTTATTTTTTTCTCCTTTGGTTCTTTCTACAAGGAACAAGAAAATGTGTTCTTTCATGGCGCAGTTGCATTTGATCTCAGTGGTAAAGGAAACAATGGGTGACGTGCAGATGATAAACCTTTCGTTGAACAAACAGACCTGAACTTCTTTTGATCTCTATGTCCTTTTGTTGTCGGTGATTTATTGGTTTTCATAAACCCTGGAAGTTTAAGTATTTTCGTAAACAACAAGACTTAATCAAAACAAATGGGGAGACACCACTTGTTTACATTCAGTCTGCAGCACTATTGTGGAAATAGTCTGTGTGAGGAAAAAGTCATCGCTCAAATTTTTCCAATAACTTAATTAACAGCTAGAAGCAAAAATGATAAAAATTAGGTGCTCCAATGAAGATACTTACAGGCCGTGTCGAGGTGAGTTTTCGATGTAGGTTTGTCAGTGAAAGTGCCATCGTCAAAATTGGGTGACCATGAAATATTAATGGGCTCAAATAAATCTTTGTCAGAGATGAATATTTCCTAAGTCACTTTGCCTTTTTGGAAAGTGCATATGCTCCATACAAGATTTATGCTAAATGTACAGTTTTAATTTAATATTCCTTGGGTTTACAAGACATTGCTCTAAGTAGTCGTACAACTTTCGGATACGTGCATGTCATTCTCCACAAATAATGGCTAGGATTAAGCGAGGAAGAAATAAATAACCAAATTACTGAGGCGTTGTATAATGTCACCATTTCTTTTTTATATAAGAGAACTGGCATTAAAACCGAGGAAAAAATGGCCATGGGCAAGAAGCAAATAATGAATATGGCAACAATATAGAGAATGGTGAAGACAGATTTTCTGTACTTGGCCATGTGGATTGCTGGTCGAGCACCGTTTTGGGCCAATTCGCTCGAGTGGATTTGTTGCTGATGTGCGCGAATTATTCGAAAAACTTTAAAGTAAGCCACTGAGGTTATAAGAAGGCAAAACAGCAAGAAGAAAGCACTTGCAACATTCACTACAATGTTAAACGGATAAAGTGCACGGCACACTGCTAGTGGAATCGGTAGAGGTAATAGCAGTACAACAGCAATGTAAGCTCGACGCACTGTAACCAGAGATCAATAAGACATGTGTAACCATCGTTCAATTGACATGGTTGTTATCGTTAAAACCGTGAGTATAACAAGATAGTTACCAAGGCCATCAACCATTTGTTTTAATATTGAATATATTCGAGGCTAGGTCGTCATATCGATCAATTTAAAATCATCTTTCTCAGTGCGGAAGTTAAGCACAACGTAAAAGGGCTGAGTTATAATCCCAGTTCCAAAGTCAGTAAAAGCCATTGTAGCCAAGAGTATGTTAGTAGGTGGATTCCTCAAAATTGCCGTCAAAACAAGCGCATTTCCGACGACTGCAACTGGGGTTAAGACGGCAGCAATGATTGAAGTACAAATGAAATATATGTCATACTTTTCTGTAAATTCAGCAGCGGTGTAGGACATTATGTTATCTTCTTTCACTGTTCGGTTACTTAAGTTTTCGCTGAGTTCGCTTTAACAAAAAAAGTGAAATTTTCTCATCAAACATTCGAATTCATGCTTATTTGTGCAAAAGGTCACCATGATGTTGAATATGATAGCGAAGATACTAAATGTTACATTGTGCTGTTTTCTACGTCGTTTTTTCTTTTCATTTTTTAACTAACTGACTTCATACTGACACCTTGTTTTGATACAAATTCTGTTTAGTTTAAAGCAAACACTGCGACGCCTTAAAAAAAACGATCAGTAGTTTCCCATTCATTTCATTCATTCATTCATTCCATTTCCTATTCAGACCGGCTTTCGATCAATTTTCCCGTCGGCACGCCTGCTGTCGTGGGAGTGGTTTTCTTCTTCGGAGTATTTGCGAGGCTTAGCCTCCGGTGATTTGAGATCGGTAGATCTTTGTCTAGACACGTTTTGAAAAAAATATAACGCGTTGTGACAATTGTACCAGGTGCAAAGTTTGACCAATAATATCATAAGGCAGTTTTGGTATGAGTTCAAAAGATGAAACTCTCGCTTTTTTCGTCCTTCTAGACTTCTTTATTGAAACCTGCAAAGCTAAAGAAAAGTCTTTCCCACTACCTTCTTCCACCACCGATCGCGACCCACGGGTTCTCGACTTTAACAATCAATTCTTGTAGAACGGTTTCAGTTTTCATTTAGTGGGTGCGTCTTCTGTGGTCAATTTTGCATATCTGAATCATTTGTCGTTTACTCTATATTGAAATGTCTCTTTCCCTCTAGTTTTCCGTTTATTTTAGTTTACCAGAGCTNTGTCGTGGGAGTGGTTTTCTTCTTCGGAGTATTTGCGAGGCTTAGCCTCCGGTGATTTGAGATCGGTAGATCTTTGTCTAGACACGTTTTGAAAAAAATATAACGCGTTGTGACAATTGTACCAGGTGCAAAGTTTGACCAATAATATTATAAGGCAGTTTTGGTATGAGTTCAAAAGATGAAACTCTCGCTTTTTTCGTCCTTCTAGACTTCTTTATTGAAACCTGCAAAGCTAAAGAAAAGTCTTTCCCACTACCTTCTTCCACCACCGATCGCGACCCACGGGTTCTCGACTTTAACAATCAATTCTTGTAGAACGGTTTCAGTTTTCATTTAGTGGGTGCGTCTTCTGTGGTCAATTTTGCATATCTGAATCATTTGTCGTTTACTCTATATTGAAATGTCTCTTTCCCTCTAGTTTTCCGTTTATTTTAGTTTACCAGAGCTGGCGTCGGGGGTCGCCTATTCGGTGTGTAACGTGCCTCGTGACAAATTTCCTATTGGCATTCACGGCCCACTACTGTAGAAGCGATTTTTCTCCGCATTATAAGTAGCCTACATTATTGCCTCATCTAAATAATAGGAGAAAAGGCAGCGTTGGATGTGTAATAATTAAAAACTTCTTGGTAGGTTTTTGACATTCAATTATACGTACCAATGGGTAATTACTGAATAAGGCTGAGCATGATATGCAGATTTGTGTAGATCGAGGAACTTAGCTTTGTAAAACTCTCCAAGTGAGTGAACTTATTTTTCTGTTTCAGTTAATTTGATGGCAGTTCTCACTGTTTGAATTCACTTGATAAATTTCATGACACAGGCTCCCTTAACGTACGTGAATGTGAAATTCTGTTTGTCACTTTGCTTGTGTATTGCGACCTGCTACTGTTCCTACTAGTCTCCTCAGCCGATTAAGGTTCAGTTTAAGAGGCCGGGGCATGCGTCCGATTCAACAGGACGAATCCAAAAGCCATACTGGAACGCTAACTAGTAAACTTAACCTTTTTCCTGAAGACGTTAAATTTCCAAATTTTGCTGACTAGTTCTGTCAACTTTAGCGCGCGTGAGAGCCGGAAAATTGCCTGATGTGTCGCGGCATTCTGGGCGATGTGTTGATGTGGTTGATGGGCATTTTCACTGCCACTTTGTGCCTGGATCTTTTGTTTCCTGTTTTATATTTCGTTGTTTTAACATAATATTTTATTAACAAGCCGTTTAACTTCATCACGGATTTCTTTCATTCTCCACAAGTAAAGAGCAGGGTTTAATGAAGAAGACAAAAATGCCAGTACAACTGACATGTTGAATACCAATAAACTAACGTCATTGTATTTGAAAACCATCATTAGCCCCATGGAAATGGTGACAGAAAAGTAACCAGTATAGAAAATAGCAAGAATATAGAGTATAGTTTTTACAGATTTCTTGTACTTGGCAATGTTAATTATTGGTTGAGCAGCTCCTCGAGATATTTCGCTGGCGTGAATTTGTTGCTGATGTTCGCGAATTATTCGAAAAGCTTTGAAGTAAGCAACTGAGGTTACAGTCAGGCAAAAGAGCAATGATAACATACTTGTAATGTTTACTGCAATGGTATACTGATATCGTACCTGATAAACCACTAGTGGAATAGGTATGGGTAGCAACACAATAATTGCTATGCAGACACGACGCATTGTAACTAAAGATCGACGAGACATGTGCAGCCATCGTTCAATGGACATGACTGTTATTGTCAGAATACTTAGTAAGAAAAAGTAGGTACATAAGCCATCACCAATTATTTTCAAAACTAAATACTCCGTGGGCCAAGTGGTCGTATCCAAGAGGACAACGTTGAACACCATACCCATATGTACATTTATAACATATAAAGGCTGACTGATAAGTCCCGTTCCAAAATCGGTGAAAGCCAATCCCGCCAGGAGAATGTTAGATGGTGTTTTGAGAGAAGGTTTTCTCAAGATCGCTGTCAAAACCAAAGCATTTCCCACCACTGCAATCGGCGAAAAAAGGCCAACGACAGCAGAAGTGCACATTAAAAATGCATTAACCGTGGTAGCCATTCTCCGGCGTCTTGTAAATTTTCCTCTTATAACTGTTCAAAAAATCCTTAAAAGTTGGTCAATTAAATTTAAGAGAAGTCGCTACATCTAAGGCAAAGGTTTTGTATGGTGATCAGTGAACTTACTGATCAGTCGATGTCGCTGTACATTTTTTGCAGTTGCCTTCGTGATGAAATGTGGTTGAAACAATGACATCGTATTGACATAAACTGAAAGCTGTTATAAGATTGACGAGCTTTCTCCCGCGGTGATCATGACTGATGCAATTTTGTGTTAAACAAATAAATGTTTTCTCTACAAATATATTCCATAATCAACTTCCATTTCATTTAAATTGCTCCCTTTTTTTACGTTGAATTTTGTATGTTTTGTGTCGCTCACTTTCTTGACGTTGCTTTCATTCGGTTTTAATTGTATTAATTTCAGTTTGGGCGTTTATGGCTAGCGCATCCAAGGTTTTTATATTATTATTTTTTTCCAAGGTTTCTGATCGTTATTATTACTACTATTAACAGTAAACAGTAAATTTTATTTTCATTAAGTGAGTTTAATTAAGACTTATTGCCAAGAAACTCAAAAAGTAATGAATAGGTGCTTAACCCGGTTTAAACAAAACGAAATTTAAGAGTGACTAACCTAGAGCAGATAGTATATTCTGATTAAAATAGCGGGCAAAAATGATTAAAACCCACTTATTAAATGTTTGTTGGTAAGGTTTAGTAATAGGCGCTTCGCTGTCTGCACTTTAGTTCATCAGTGTGCATTTATTGACAGACAGCATAAAAAGTACGAAACAAGAAAATAAACTGTTTTTTGCTGTAAGATTGTAAAAGCACGCAAAGTTAGGATAAAGTATTGTTTGGTGACACTAGTACTTTACGTATGGGGAATCTAGTTAAGACAATAACAAAGGATGGGACGATACTTAGTTCTAAGCTAAGTACAACTTTTTACGGCGGAACTTATACTGTTTGACCTACTATTGTATTCTTACAATACTCGCTGGAGATTACTACTAACTACCTTTTGACAAACCAGTCGGTTGCTGTTGTTTCCCATCCTCAAAAACCCTCTAACGGCTTCCCTATTAAACTGCTGGTTGTTTTAGGTGATGCTATTAACGACGTTTTTATCCGTAAGTTAAATTGCTTTCTCCTTGTGACCGTGTTTGTTCTGAATGCCCTCAAAACTTTTGACCTCGGCTGAAACTAGCTATTCTGTTATATATTGTTCATATATTTCTTGGTGTGCTTCAGCAATCGAAGTTTTCACAGTTAATTAGGGTCTGCAGAAATAGGTTAGCTTAGGTTGACTTTTATCTACACATATATACCACTAACACTTTTTGTCACATCATTTAAAGTTTCAATCAAATGTGCGCGGGTTAATTTCTTACCTACTAGGTTTTCTTTTGGGTTTTATGCTTCGCAAGATCATTCATAGTTCTCGATGTTTGAGACTAGTCTTCTGTTATTGTTTGTCAGATGTAATTTATTCATACGTTTTGAAATCGATGGCCTTTGAGGCAAAAAATCAATCAAGATAAAATACTTTACGTGCATGACACCTGTTCGTGTTTGTGGTTTGTTTTAGAAATACTGATCACGATCAATGTTCGCATTGTTTTCACCCATCATATTCATCCAATCAAGATCTACTCGTTCCTTCATTTCACTTTGTACTATCTTTTGAAACCGATGCTAGGAAAGAGTCGTGATCCCGTAGTTATGTTTCGCAAAATTTAACCAACGTTAGGATTCGAAAGGCAAATTATGTTTCGGTGTTTTGTTATTCTGTTGAAACTTTAGTCTCTTTCAGTGTTAACGGACATTCATAAATTATTAAATCTTAAGGAGGTACAATAACAGAGGATGTTGATATGGACCTGTATGCCTTCCCATCATTCCATGTGAGAGAGCCCCACAAGTCTTCAGTGCCCGCAGTTGCTTTTACCTTGAGCTTGCATAATAAAGTGGATAAACCTCTAGATGTGTCTTTTATGTTTAATTTACCCCTTGGACAACAAGAGGATACGATTAGAGTTGGAGACAACTTTGGCGAAGTTGTGTTTACTAGGTAAGTGGAAACGAAAGAAATTCCGCCTTTTGTAAAGGCAGATTGGGGTATTTGAAACTATTTGTATTGTCTTCGTAGATGACAGGGGCGTTTAGAATGACGAATTGTATGAAGCCAAGTAAACCGTGAGCAAAACAAGGTTGATATTAATTAATAGACCGTTACTGAGGCAGAACTATTGTCTATTTGTTTATTTTTTTGTTTTGCTTACGTGAGTTGTGTATGTTTTTGTTGTTGTTATCGTGCTTTTTTGTTGGAAAGGAGAAAGATTTGGATTGTGACAGCAGATGCAATTGCAGCGAGCCAGAAACAACATTTTGCGTATTGAGAATCTTGTCCTTTTTCTTAAGTCGAAAACTCAAATCGATGTTCTTTGAGTTTTAGACTGAGGCAATAGAACTGAGATGGAACTTCGTTTGCACTTTTTATTTCAGAATGATAAAGCCCTCAGACTGTGCGCATGCTTGCTCAAAGATGCCCAAATGCATGTCATGGACAACCAATGGGCCTAACTCCTGTCTTTTGAAGGATAAAATGCCGCTCCATGCCTGGGCCACTGGGATTGTCTCCGGTCTCAAGGGAAAGTGGACAGTCGAAGAGTCCATGTTAACCTGCCACAGACCTGGATTTTTTCCTCAGAGTGGCAGTACAACTTTATACTCGGTGGATGACGAGGATTCTATTGGCTCGTTTGCTGTCGCGGACGATTTTGCTGATATCTGGAAGAACTTTTCCGAGACTGGCAAGTATTACGTTTAAAGCGTAGGTGGTGATTTTAATATTATAGTTATTAAGAATAGACAGTTAACATTATAATTAATTAAAACTTATATAGCACAACTGTACATGGCCCAGATCAAGTGCGCTTTACCATAAGTTAAAAAGACTAAAAATGAATAAAATTTGCAATCAGGTAAATAGATTCGTAATAAAAATTTATAATCAGGTAAAAGGCTAAAAGGTTAAAAAAGCAATAAAATAATAATAACAACAATTTATTAATAAAATAAACGAAATAAAGACTCTACTACAAATTAAAAGTTTGTTGAAAAAGATATGTTTTAACATGACTTTTAAAATTTGACAGAGTTGGTTGACACTATGTGTTCTTTTTCTTTCGGTTCTTCTTCTCCTCGTCCCCCCTCCTACACTTCGCCATCATCATCGTCATCATCATCATCATTATCATCCATGTCAAGTTAAGGTAACAGTAGGCATATTTTAATTTAATACTGTACTTTTTCTGTGTTTTTGGTTTAAGCCTTTTCCCTTTTTTTGTAGGTGAAATTGGTGTTTCCAAATGGCTCAATAAAACCGGTATATATGGTGCGGCATCTGCAAAAACAGTTCTGCAACCAGGCGAGAAAAAGTCTCTTACAATTATTCTTTCGTGGTACTATCCACACCGAGACTTATCAAAAGTTCACGTTGGGAATCTTTACTCGCTGCTATTTAAATCCAGTCAGGATGTCGCAAAACACATGCGCCAAGATATGCTCCAATCAGTGATAGATATCCAATCATGGCACAAGCCAATCTTTGGAATAAATCCCGCTAAAAAGAAACCAATCAACAAGATGGTGAAGGATATCCCAGGGACATCGGAAAACAGCGTACACGAGCTACCGGATTGGCTGAAGGATATGCTTATTAATAGCTTGAGTTTCTGGAGATCTGGTTTCTGGACTGAAGATGGAAGATGGCGGCAGTGGGAGGCATTTGACTGTAATGATATTGACACTATTCAGAATGACATGCAGCGGATTATTCCTTATACGCTGTTTTTCCCAGGTATGTAAAAAGAGGCTTTGCAAACCATTATACACACTGAAATACCAAATCCACGAAAACTGTGCTGAACTTTTAGGGCATTTCTGAAAAAGTTTTCTAAAGAGCCCTTTACTATTTTAGAACTTTGTTTTGTTTCTTTAAAAAAAATCTGGAATTAACAGTTTCAGGTTAATCTTGATTAGTTACTAGTAACAAACATATTTTTGCCCCTCTGACTGTACTTAAAAATTTATTCTCTTTGATTGTCAATGTATTTATCACGAAAGTACTAATTGAGGACACTATTTTTACTTCTCCTCCTGGAGACGGGACAGTCATTTTACGTAGTCATCCGAGGCACTCGAAGGTCTAGCCGCTTGCAAGGCAAAGGAAATACCTTTATTTTTCAGTTTATTGTAATTCAGTTTATCCTGAGTATTGGTCTGGCCCCGGGAATCAAAATCCCGACCTCCCGCTCTACAGTAAAGCGCTTGACGGACTAAACTAATCCTTCCGCGGTTTTCAGAATGTCGTAATGATTTCCCTATTTTGGGGGTGGAGATTTTAAAATTAATGCTGCTATTTAGATGTAAAGATTAAAATTAATGCTCCCGCTGCTACGCCTTTATTGCTTTCTTTACCAGATCTGGTAAAAGATCTGTTGCTGTCCTGGGCTGATAATCAATATTCTAGTGGTATGCTACAAGAAGCGCTGACATCTGGCTGTCTCGGACCAACAGGAAAGTTGGGTAACTTCCTAGTTTTTTTTTTATAAATTATGTTATTTTGTGAAAAAGTAGTGTAGATGGGTAGCTGTAATTCTTTCTCATGCATTGTGGTTTTTACTTTTAATTAATCAATTAACGTTTCTGTCCTGTCACTTTGCCCCCTATTTCGTTGTTCAGTTATCTTTGATTTCACGACCAAGATGGAACGTAGCCTGCGGGGAGCAGACGCTTTTTTTTTGGCGTCTTGTTTCACGGGCCGAGAAAATAGCTATTTTCTCGGCGGGTGAAACAAGAGCCGAAAAGAGTGAAAGCAACCCAGATGGAACGTTGTGGACTGTTGATTTTTTAGCCCGCGAGCAAGCTCTCCGGGGCGCTCTGGTAGCGGGACGGGAAAAGTAA